CGATGAATGATTGAGAAAGGCACCTTTGGAACATAACCCAGTCTTGGATGCAATGTTGTGTTAGCTAATTTACAATAATGAGCCAGTCATAACGTCAGTTCCAGAGTAAAAGATATTTACCAGAGCATTGCGTATGCTCAGGTAAATTTCTTTTACTCTGGAACTGACATTATGACTCTCGTGTCACCTTCTTTAGGTTCATGCAACAACAGTAACGTTACTCTCAAATTACCCTCTACAGAACACCTCCACAGATACATCTTTGCAGAACCTTTAACCACGTATTCTACTACAGGTCACACTATCTGCAACATTCTCATGAACAAACAATGAACACAACTTCCCTTTTTTTTTTCGCTCTACAAATTCTGTCATTCAGGAGGTCATGGCACTCATTGTCACATGAGGTTCTCTACTTATTTCAGTGTCTCTGGACGTGTTCATGTCCCTAGTAGTGTAAATATAAGTGTCAGTGTTACCCTGTTCCAGGGTTGTTATACGTATATTGTGGTCTATTTTCAGACATTAGAGTCTCTGGGATTCCATGGCAGCTAAACACAGCCTTTAAAGCTGCAATGACAGTGTTGGCCTATGGCCACATTTAGGCATGCTACTTCAATGTAACATGTTCTGCCCTATGGCGTAAGCACGTACTGAAGTTTTCTACAAGTCCTGGCCACCAGATGGCCTGGCTGGCCGTAGCTTGGCACTTGACTATACCCTGCTGACCCTCAAGTATACTATTGAGGGTTTCTTGGCTGATGGGAATCACGATTCTTTGGCTCCCGAGGAGTAAAACTTCCCCTTTCAGGTCAATATGGCCACAACTAGGAGTAAATGACGAATAAAGCCCAGAGTTTGAGACAGAAGGTTACCCCCTGGTCAGAATACCCCACTGAGAGCCGTCCAGGAGATATTTTAGGACAGAGAAACAGACTCGGGCTGGCCAGAATGGAGCCAATAGCAATAGGCTTTGCCTGTGTTGAACCATGGCATCGAGCCCTAACAGAGGTGTTAGGGCAAACCAGAGGGGACAGCGGGTCGATTAGTCCACTTCCACTGTGTCATACTTCTGCTAAATCAACTCCATCACCGACCATCTAGGACCATTCCCCAACTAGTGAGGGAGGCATCTGTGATCTCAGTCTTGTGATGGCACCATGCCTCCAGCATGGGAGACAAGGCAAGAAACCTTCCATATAGAAAGGGTACAAAGATCTCTGCACATAACCAGTATCATTTTCAGAGGGTTGCACAAGGGATGGAACCCTCTGATCCTGAGCCACACCTGAAATGGTCTCATGTACTGCTGCCCCAAAGGTATCACATTGGCAGCGACTTCCAACAGCCTATGATGTTGGCTGATAGCGATTTCCCGACCTCGCATGACTTCTTTCATGGTAGTAAGTATGGACTCGACCTGAGCAGGAGACAAAAGTGCCTTCAAATGAAGGTCCGAGTCCCATACCATCCCAAGAAAAGTTGACTCGACTCTAGAGAGCACTTTGGATGCCATTACACTTACAGTATACAAACAAACAGGCCTTCTTTCCACGCAAACACTCAGCTTACTGAAAATTTATTGTCTTGATTATGCGTTTCGCTTTGTCACCTGACTTCACCGGTAATGCTTCCTTTTACAGTCCAGTTACCCATGTAAATACTATGTACTTATTTTATTAACTACAATTACTGGGTAATAACTAGTACTAACCCTGAACCTACCCCTGTTCCATGGACTTATATTAGCCAGTACTTTCTAGGTAAGTACACTGTAAGTACTGTACTGTAAAAGGAAGCGTTGCCACTTCACCATTGGTCAATGAAATTGCTGTGGTGTAGCACAGGTGTTACAGGTACCAGCTCACGTAGAACATTTCCCATAGCATCAACTCAGCATGCAGCATTGAGTTCCCTCGAAAGGAAACACTTTATGATCAGTCACAAAAAGAGAGATGACACAACAAAGACTTAAATGATTTTTTATTTATTCTGTTTCATTATTTCCTAAGGACAACATTTTCTGAGTTCCACAACTCTTCAATATATGAGTTTATTTAAAGAAAATTAATGTTACAACACGCAGCAGTCTTTAGACAATACTTGATCACAAAATACACAGTGTTAATATTACTTGCTACACTCTTCCCAATAAATAAACAGTATTAAAAGATAAAATGCTGTTATACCATTTGAGAAACAATTAAATTGGACAAATAATTTATATCACTTTATATTAACATAGATATTAATGAAGATGGATGATTAAAATGTGTAACAGTTCAAGCTGCTCAGCTGAAAAATTGACAGTGAAGATCAAACATGCTTTACATATGGAGTTTAACATCTTGACAAAACTTTTCTCACTCTTTAGCATTGCTGCACAAAATTGTAAAGTCAAACCTGGCACATTAAAAAACACTGGCAAATAAAAGAAGATATAATGAAATGTCGCTTAAGTCGAATTTTTCTGATTCCCCATGCCAAAATATCTGCTTTTACAAAGGGAAAGCCCTGCACATTTCAATAGGCTCTGGCAGGCTTTCTCATCATTACTCTTCAGGGTCGATGATTTGCTGCTCAATAAAGAAAAATATTATTATTATCAATGTTAAAAACAGCTGTTTAATGTTTGAGGAATCTGTGATGTATTTTTTTAAGGATTCTTTGATAAATAGAAAGTAAAAAAACAGCATTTATTTGAAATAGAAATATTATAACATTATAATTACAAATATAAAACATATTTGTAATGTTATACCTTTTAACATTATAAAAGTATACAGTCACTTTACTGATCAATATATTGCATCCTTGCACAATAAAAGTATTAACTTGTTAAAACAAATATCTTACTGAACCCAAACAAAGTTACCCGGGCCCAAAATAACATTGATTGAACTCAAGTTTATTGTATGTTTACAGGTTTGGAACGACATGATGAGGGTGAGAAAATAATGGCAAAAAAAAAACCTGACATTTTATATTGATTTTTGAGTAGAACAACCTGAACACACACTGCCTCGGACCTGCATAATTAAACACAGTGGGATGTTTAACATCTTTCAGGTTTTTTTATAGATATAGAAGCACATAATAGACTTTGAAAAATTCTGACAGGTGATCATTCTGAAAGCTGAAGCTGCAATGCAAAACTCTCTCCACAAAGCTAAAGTGCTTAGATGCTACCCCTGCTGGTGTGAGCTGATTTTTTTCAGCAGGAACAGTCTCACACACACACACAGATGCACACAGTTACTGGCCCCAGCTGTCCCGGTCATCACTCTCATCTGTGTTAGACTCATAACCGGATGCGATACCCGACTCTCTGAATCCAGCTGTGTCCAGTGCGCTGAGGAACTGGTTCACTGGAGGAGAGCAACCTCCTGACTGATCTTCATCCTGACCCTGACCTGAGTCACGGTCCTGATCCGGCTTCTTCTCCTGGTCTGAAGATTCTGTGAAGAAACGAAAGCCATCCAGCCGAACCAGGCTGTTTGAGAGAGGGAAGCCTCCTCTAGCGCTTGGGAGGGGATTTGGGTTGGGGTCACGCGATGCAGCTGGCATGTTGGGACGCAGGGCGATTTCCAGAAGACTGTCTTGAGATCCCACTTCATGGAGGAAATTACATAATAGCATAGATAGTCAGTAAGAGAATAACTCAAGTTGATTCTATTCTGATGCAGATTTCTGATGCAGTGTTGTATTAAAGGATTCTTTCACTTTAATCAATGACAATTTTATCATTACACTACCTTTCAAAAAAATGAAAGGAAAAAATATATTTCTCTTATCCTCTGGATTAATTTGATCAAAACACAGTAAAACAGTTATCGTGAAATATTATTACAATTTAAAATATCTGTTTATTTTAATCTTTTTAAAATATAAAATATTCATATGTTGTCAAAGCTGGATTTTCTGCATCCTTACTCGAGTCTTCAGTGTCTCATGGTCCTTCAGAAATCATTTGACTATGCTGATTTGCTGCTCAAGAAACATTTCTTATTATTAATAATGTTGAAAACAGTTGTGCTGATCAATATTTCTTCATTACATGGAAAAGAGAAGCATGAACATGCTTCAAAATGTCTTCTTTTGTGATCAGAGGAAAGAAGAAAGTAAATTTAAAAAAAAAAAAGAATTGTAACAACATGATCATGAGTAAATGAAAATATATTTTTTTTTAGGTGAACTATTCTTTGATACAGACTGAATTATCCTTTGTAAAGCCGTGTGCCAGGCTGTATCGCTGTAAAGCTGCTTTGATTTGTATTGTATAAAGCGCTATACTGTATAAATAAAAGGTGACTTGACATTAAGGAGGTAAAGAACTTTTGACTCACAGGGAGAGTTCTTGTGTGGTTGAGTGCGAAGCTCCAGCTCTTGCACGTGTTTGACCAAAAGCGAGAGATGCTGCAGGAGTTCAGTGTTCTGTTGCAGGAGCTGCTGGACTCTCGTCTGAGCCTCCGTCCTGGCGTTGCTCTCCACCGACAGCTGCTGCTGCAACAGAACCACCTACAGAACAACAATTACAGATTGTTACACTTGTATCTATCTGTCTGTCTGTCTGAGAAAGCGATTAGACGTGTGATGTGACCTGTGCGGAGGCAGCTTGACTCTTCTGCTCTTGCTGCTGTAACTGCCTCTGCAGGAGCTGCACCTGATGGCTCACAGTTAGAGGGCTGGAGAGAGGAGGCTCCATCACCAGCACTGGTGCTTCACACACCTGCATGGAGAAAGTAGGAGATACATGTTGTTTTATTACTTTTAAGTTGACATTTGCTTTGTAAATGAGGGCCAATCAAGCTAATTAGTATGTGCGTGTGCATGAACTACGATTGACACTTTGGAATCTATTAGTTATTTTGAAATGTATCACACATTGAGAATAGCATAGTTTATTTGTTAAAGAGTAACTAAACACATAACCAACTTTTTTTAGTTAATGATCTGTAAGAATGGATCTTTATTAATACCAGTCATTGATTCAAGTATTAACTTTTTTGACATTTGTTTATAAAGTGTTCTATTTCTACAATATATGGTGTAAAAGCGTCTTAGTGCTGCCCTCTTCAGGTTGAACGGTGGCTACTGCAGTTGAATTTTCCTATTGGATTTTAGCGGTTCTTTGTGACGTACGCAGGTTTCAGCTCACCACGCGAGCTACGCCCTTGGCAATATAAAAAACATCTTGTGTCGTCAAAACCACTGTAGGGAGTCAGGAATTGGAATTGTGAGTATTGAAAACGATCAGGATAGAGTGTTTTAGCATCTATTTCGTCCCCTCTATCTCCGCTGGGGTATGCCCACTTTTTCAGCATTTTCAAATATTGCCACTGGGTGGAGTCAGGCTCTGACCAGGGGTTTAGTTACCCTTTAAGGTTAATAGAAGTGACCATATTTAATATTTAAACATTTTCTTCAATGACTTTCTGGGCCGTCAAGTTTCAATCCCTAAAGAGCCTACAGTATGTAGCAGTGATCCACCTCTCAAATTTAATCAAAAATATCTTCATTTGTGTTCTGAAGATGAGTAAAGGTCTTACGGGGTTGGTACAGCATGGGGGTGAGTAATTAATGACTTAATTTTAATTTTTTTGGGTGAACTAACCCTTTAAGAGCAAAACAGTTTATGGATGACCCTTTTGTGAGTTTGAAGCTAAAATCTTTTAATCACCTGCTTAGATATTGAACCAGAAGCTAGAGACTATAAAGTAAGTAAAGGCGACATGAAACTGAAGTTGTAATTGTCTGTTCTTCCCCATTGTGACATACGTATATCTGAGTGTAACGGCTTCTCGAATGATGGGACTTGAGTCTGCCCATGGGTAATTGATTGGATGGTTTAAATTGATTTACATGGATAACTTGTACTTTCAAACCCGTTTTCAAAAGTTAGCTTTTTCAGACACCCAAAACGATCTTGGATGTGTAAATGAACGGGCAAAACTCATAAAAGGTTGTACTTTTTAGTTGAAAAGGGTGTCGTGTAAACAACCCTTTAGGCCTAGAGGAACATAAAAAATGAAAAACGCTGGTCTCATATGTTGGCTCTTATGATTGCTGTAAATGAAAGAAGATCAGCAGATTCAGAGAGCAGATTCCAGAACACACAACTTCTGCTGTATCAAAGTAATTTTGACAACCATTACAAGTACATGAAAGCTTTAACCTCTGTGAAAGCACAGTTTCCTAAAAACTCCCCAGTGATCTAATATGTGTCAGCATGGACAGCTTTCATATCTTATTCATTAGAGTAAAGCTAAAATTCTAAAAGGGTCTAAAATGTGTATGCTATGCTAAAATATATAATTCATAAATTTGCCCCATCATTGCTGGAAATGATTTCATGTTAATAAACACGACTTATTGGACAGAAACTACCATCGATGTATCTAAAATTCACTTTTAAGTGTTATAAGACTCCAAAGAATATTTGAACTAAACTTTAGAAAACTGTCTAGTAAATGTTTAGCCCTCCTTTTGATCATGGCCCAATTTCTGCCCTAAAAACCATGTGGGATGAGCAAACTAGCATCTATAAATAACAGAAAACAGGCAAAACTTGAGTTATATTTAAAAAGACAAAACCTCAGACATCTTCTTTCTTCTAAAAAAGCAATACTTTTTGTTGGTTGGAAAAAGATTGATGGAGGAAAAACACATATTTGATATTCTGCTGGCTGAGAGGACTTGTTCAAATTGCATATCAACCTTATAGTCAAAACTTTGACAAGGACTTTACCTTGTCATCTTTTTCCAGGCCAGCATTGCCTGATTTCTCAATGGTGGTGCCAGTAACCGGATTTTCATCTTTGCTTCTCTCCTCTTCTCCTTTTACAAGCCATGCTGCCAATTACAAAATAATCAATGGAAAGTTTCATAGAGATTGTGTCTGTATCTAGTTCACATAACAAAATAGATTATGATTTTATTGACTGATCTTAATTTGTCTCCTATGAAAATGATAAAATGAAATGTAAGTTAAGGTCAATGTCTTCTCACCGTCAGCACTGTCTAGACTCTGTTTATGGCACACTTCAAACGCCTGACCCACGGCCCGTACTATCCTCATGGCTTGGCTCTAAAACAGACAGTAGATCTTTAAGCAACAAGGTTTATTGAACATGTCAAACATGCTTTTCCACATGCAGGTAAAAATCTGTTTTTTTGTTTGATATGGGACAAAAAAAAAGCTGTACTGGGAGATACATAAGAATTCATTAACATTTGAGAAAGAAAGATGGATTTATATAAGAGATTGACAGATATAAGAGAAAGAGAAGGAGTGAGTGAGAGAGGGAGAACATTACACCCATAAGTCAATTACACATTATTGCAGTGCTGTCAAAGTGATGGATTAGTTCATTTTAGATGGACCCTGGTGCTCTGGACAAAAATTCCCAAGCCAAATAGACTCATATTCAAGGGGGTAATCCATCGACCGGAAGTTGAAGCCTCGCAGGAGCTGCCATCTTGTAGCAGAACTTCACTTGCGTTAGCATTTCCATTGACTCCCATTCATTTTGGCGTCACTTTGACAGCGAATAACTTTACATCTGAGGTGTTTGAAGCCCCCATTTGTCCTTTATTTATTTCTAAAGAAACACAACAATGTATAAAATGCTCCATTACCTTGTAGCTTATGTTATGGCCACGTAGAAGCAGTTTTTTGTAAAAGTAGGCTAACGATTGCGTCATAACCAAGCGACTCTCTGTCGCACAGTATAGAGATTACCGTATGGACAGGAGGAGAAGCTCGCGGGCAATCGGGGAATCATGGAGGCAAAATTACAAAAAAATAATCAGAATACCTAGAAAAAGTTTCTCCTGCTCCTAACTCATGGACAGCTCCAACTCACACTCTCCGCCTCTGCATGTTTCGGAAGGGAATGATGATTTCTCATGCCACAGCCACTAGAAGACAGACGGGTTTGCCACGTCACATCTACGTCGTCAAGCTTGAGTCGGTTTGAGTCTGCGCGTCAGGAACGGAAGTGCTAAAAAATCGCCAAAAATGGGCTTCACTTGTCTCAATGGAGTTCCAATGAGATGGCTCTGTCCACTTCTTATAGTGTCTATGCTCATATCAAGTAGCTTATACAAACATCAGTTCCCTTTCAAAAGCTGCAATCGATGCTGCGCTGCTTAGCGCATTGGGGACATCTTTAATGACCTGCTGTGAATATAATGTGTAAACACATTGATGGAATCGACCAGGAGGTAATATAGCAGTCATTGGCACGCACCCGTGACACAAGGCTATAATTAGATGAGCCACAGGTCAGTTCTTTTGTTTTCAGAGACCTCTCTGTGTTTGGTGTGCAAGCATATCAACGATCTAAAAAGAGTTTAAAAAAGAGAAAGAGAAATGAGTCAGCAGAGTAAGCACTGTGTCCCTCCATGTTCTCGTATCCATGTCAGGACAGGATACACACACTTACTGCTTTGTTTGTTTGGGGAAAGAGCATACTGCCCTTGTCTTTGAGCACGGTGATTGCGAGCACAGTGGATTGTTCACACTTAGGGAGTTTTTACACTGGGTTCGTTTGCTGCGGTCCGAGCCCAAGCACGTTTGTTCCCGGCGCCCCCCGCAGCGTTGGTCTGGTTTCACACTCAACTTGATTCTATCGAAACCTGGTGCGTTTGTGTGCTTAATACGTCATCGAAAACGTGCACAGTGCTTTTTATTAATCCGCTGCTATTATGCGGAGTTGAGTGAACCATACAGGTTTACTGTGTGTGCATCACATAAGGTGGCCTTTTGCTGCTTGCAAACGGACTCTTTTGAGGACACAGAGGATTTCCAAATGCACAAATACTTTGCAGGCTCACTCTTGCTCATATCCAAGGTAAATCATCAAGACTATCATCCCTTACAAGTGTTTTATTTAACTGAAGACATCACAATAAGCTAAAACGCATGCACAGGTCACTTTACTTCCTGAACAAGTGCGCTCCTGAGCCCGTGTTGCTTTCACATTCGACTATCACAGGTACGAAGGCACTCGATTTTATGAAGCTGCCTCAGATCAGAGAGACACTCACAGGCTTTCTCTCCACTGGGATTGCATTATCACATGCATTTTCAGCGGGTCAGGCTGGTACTGCGCTGTACATTCCAGGGCATCTGAATGTGGGAGCGGATTTACTGCCCAGACAGAAATTAACACAGGGAAATGGATAATCCACCCAGATGTAGTAAAACAGATCTGGACTAGATTTTATGAAGCGGTGGTGGACCTCTTCACCTCCCAGACAGCGCAATGTCCCCTCTACTTCTCTCTGAGTCACCCAGCCCCCCTGGGACGCGATGGCACACACATGGCCCAAAATGCGCCTATATGCATTTCCTCTAGTGGCTCTGCTTCCGGGAGTTCAAGCCAGAGTTTGATATCAAGGTTTTTGCCTCTTACTGATAGCTCCGCGTTGGCCGAATAGAGTGTGGTTCTCAGAGATGGTATCTCTCCTTGACGGCTCGCCATGGGCGATTCCCGAAGAGAAGGGACGTGGAGGAAAGGTGGTGTGTCATTCATAATGCAGATCCGGTCAACTGCCAGATTGCTTCAGTTGTGAATTTCCTGAAGGGAAAAAATATCAACAGGCACATGCTCTACCACTCTCAAGGTTTATGCGGCTGCTCTTTCGGCTTGCCACGCCTTGGTTGACGGGGTGCCACTCGGGAGACATCCTCTGCTCGCTTGCTTCATTCGTGGGGCAAGAGGACTGAGGCCTCCCGTAAGAACCAAGATCCCTTCATGGGACTTAGCTATAGTCCTAGAGGGTCTGGTTGAGACCCCTTTGAACCTCTAGAGTCAGCGTCTGACAAACTTCTGACCCTAAAGATGTTTTTTCTTATGGCTATAAACTCTATAAAAAGAATCGGGGACATGTAGGCTCTGCCCTAGGAATGGTGAAAGTGATTTTACATCCTCATCCTGATTACTTGCCTAAGGTACCTTTCTGTACATCCGGTCACTCTTGAGGCCTTCTGTCCTCCACCATTCACAATGCAGGATCAGGAGAGATCTCACAGACTATGTCCAGTCTGTGGTCTTCAGACATACATCCTCTGCCAGTGCACCAGCCAGTGGTGTAAATCAGAGCAACTATTCATTTGTTATGGGGGCAGCAACAATGGTGCTGTCACCACCAAACAGACCATGTCACATTGGGTCAGGGATGCTATTGCTCTTGCCTATAAGCTACACAGCCAAGATGCGCCAACGGGTCTAAGGGCTCACTCCACCAGAGCCAGCCTCTCAAGACTGGCTTTGGGTATCGTTCGAGATTCGATCAGGGCTTGGTCGAAGCGATTCTCACTGTGCAGACTTGAGCACTGCCTGACCGCAAGCCTGTGGGGCAGACTGTGCTTTGGATTATATTCTGTTTGGAGAAACGTCTGCTGTTTGCTGTCTGTTCCTGATCTGCGATGGATTCTGTCCTGTTCTGAGTTTTGCCTGTTTGACTTCTGTCTGCTAAAACTGAAATGGGTCAAACAATTGACATGGAACCATGACCATTACATGGAAAGACTCTCTGCAAACGCAAGGTCTCTCGCTTGCTTTCCCTCTCTGCCGTGTGCGTGCATGCGCAATATGCGGTTTGGAGCACAACTTCTGCATTTGAACAACCGGGTTGACACTTCAGCGTGAGAAATCGGGGGTGTGGCGTGTGAGCGTTTGAAACCAATCAAATACGGGTGTCTTACGGCCAATGCGTGAGAGTTGGCAGGTTGTAGCAGGAAAACCAGGAAAAGGTTGTGTTTATATATTTTAAACCACTGAATCGCTATTTAATTGTGATTAATTCAATTCTTAGCCTTTTAAATTGATTGTTCAAGTAAATAAATGATTCACGATTCAAAATACATGTTTTAGGATCGATGCATATACATCGTCAGGATTTGTAATCGATGCATCGAGAAAACGAATCGTTACACCCCTAGTTTGTACGTTAGTATGGACTTAAATTGTAATTTAATGAGAGTATGAAAACCAGAAAATGAAAGTTTTTGTCTTCATTGGGATTGGGGTTGAGATCCTTAGGGAACCAGGTTGCGCCCACATTTTTAGATAAATAATTCGGGCTTCAGTTATATTGTGCAGATAATTGGTCCATTCATACAAATCTTATCACACTTTTGAAACGAGCAGGTGAACGCACGCACAGTATGTTGATTCAATACATGAATACCTATGCCCAATCCTCTCAGGATATCGGGAATCAGTGTTACAAGTACTCCAGGCACATCGTTTTACCATTTTTGTAGCATAAACCATCAAACCGATGAGAGCTTCTGATCTTTCAACATTTCTCTATGGCACTGAAACCTAAAAATGTCTGAGTTCCAGTCCCCGTGCAACTGATACTCAACTGCCATTGGCTCATTTGTGTTTAAGGGGAGAGGCTTACAAATAGGTCAATTTATATTTGTTTATATCTGAGCATTTATATTTTCTGTCTTTTTCCTGTGTTTGACCTGTGCCTGTTTACCCTGCCAGCCTGTGTGTGTGATTTGTTTGCCAGTTGTTTTCTTCAACTCTCTTTCTGTGTGGATTGTATTTGTCTGCCTGGTCAGACTGAACTTTGTGTAGTGTACTGAACCCCTGCCTGTTTCTTATACTTTTCTCTCTTACTTATTAAACTGCATATGAATCCTAATGACTCCCTCTAACTTAGCCTCCTCGCAACAATGCGATTGTTGGGCAGGGCTCAGCCCAGTAATTGCTGCTTGCAGTTACATTTTGATTAGCATTTGTCAGCCAGCTAAACAGCATTAACAATTCTGCTGATTTGTCATTAAGATAATGACTTGTTACAAAGATAATGAAACAGAAATGTAGAGTACATCAAAGAAAACCAAACATATAGGCTGGAGGGCACAAAAAATGCATGGAGAATATGAGCTAATGACCCAAAATCTCACATTAGTCCTGGACTAGAAGGCCATCCTTACTGTTGATCCCTGTTACTTTAAATCATCTGATGAATAAGGTAACAGCAGCTAAATAATTGATGTCCAACAGAATGTATCCAACACAATTTTGCCATTTTTATTCCTGGACAACCAATCAATATTGTTAACATATTTGTTCCTAATTGAATATTATCAAATGCTAAAGGATTTACTTTATTATAGTGAGGTTTACCTTTCTCTTGGATTTGAAGACATTGCAGTGGAACACATTGCTTTTCTTGTCTCTTGCTATATAACTGAATATCTTCAGGTCCTGTGAGTCATGCGAGACGTAAAATATTCTGAAAAGAAGAAAAAAAAAAGAGTTACAGCAATTGACCTTATAATTGTCTCATTGCCATGGCAACAAAAAAGCCAACATGCTCTTCAACTTGGTCCCTTTGGCATGTCATGAAGCATTACAGGAGTCCATTACATGTGCTCAATACATTTTGAAATAACAACAGGTTTTTTAAGATACATCAGAAAACATTACATTATATTAGCAGGATTTCCCCAGGTTTGATCACCCCAATTTTTTTTTTAAGACCACTTTAATGAAAATCAAGACCTACGTACATCGCACCCATTATGCAGCCGTAAAACACCAAGATAAAATCCAAACAATGACTATTAATAATAAATGTTTTAATTAAAAATACATTTATAAATCATATAAACAATGTGTCAATATTTGTGATATTTAATGCACTCAGTATATGCGAAAAATATGATAGAAATTTATTTTTCTACACATCCCCGCCTCCAGCTCTGTGCACGTGATCAGCTCTGGGGCGCTGGAGAAATCGCACAAGAAAGGCAGGTCTCTGGAGCAGTTTAGCCAATTGCTGTTAAGATATAAATGTTTGACATAATCTATAGCCAATCAGTGAGCTCAAATCAGGACAGCTATGGGTGATTCTTTTTAGTGCCCCAAGCTGCGCGCATATCTATCAAAGAGCGGACTGTGGGAGCTGTATGGGCCTGGCTAGCTGGATGCGGTCATGCTAATGCCTTGTTTAGGTGATTACTTTTTAAAACAACAGCGACAGATCCAGCATGGACAGTTACCGGAGCGAGGGAAGCAGAAAATGTAGCAAACTAAACAGTTTGAGTTAAATTTCAAGTGCAAAGTTTGTGCAATTTGTTTGTTTTTGTGTAAGAATGACTCAGCCTTGTAATATGGCATTAAATAATTACTGACTATCACAAAGCACTGATATGCAGTTTGTGTTAAAATGTATTTGGGTGGTTCATAATAATAATAATAATTATTATTAGTAATTATTTAGTGTCTTTCCAACACCCAAGGTCGCTTTACAAATATATGTAAAGGCAGTGGTTCTCAAACTGGGGTAACGTTACGTACGTGAGGTGACAGAAGGGGGTACGACCTTAAAACCACTACATTAATGCCTGGTTCAGATTATACGATTTTAGCCCGATTTTGGCACGATCCGTTTGACGTAGGGTGTCGTGGGGATTCGTAAACGACAACGGGCGTAGGGACGCATAGTGGGCGACAACCTTCGTCGCGTCTGCGATGCTTCGCGACATCACGACAAAAAGACTAGCATGTTTAATTTTTTAACGGTCGTCCACGACGGTTCCGTCACATGTATGAGGTTGACCAATAGGAGCACAGAAGCTTTTCCGTACACAACTTTCAAAAATGGCGAAACGAAAGAGAGACGATGGTGCTAAGGTTAAAACTAAAAGTAAAAATATATAACAAAACAATATTTTACCTCAAGTTCTCTTTGGAGGATTAACAGCCTATACTGTCCTCTTTGAACAATCCAGGAACAATCCATTGTCAGGTTTTTTTTTTCTTTTTTTTTTACTTTTTTGTGAACACAGGACCGCCAATACAACACTCACCGCTTCATCCATTGTTTGTTTACGTTCATTTCCGGAAGTCACTCGCCACTAGTTTCGCCTTCTCGATGACATCACGCGCGGCGTTAAAGACGGCATGCGATGACTGGTCAGGAAGCGAAGTGTAGTCTGACATGTGTCTTGTCCACGACACGAGTCACGACAAGATTTTGGGAGTCAAAATTGCGTAATCCGACACAGTGACTATCAGACAAAAAAAATTGTGTAATCTGAACCAGACATAAAAGACTCTCATGTTACCAGACTACTGAAACCAACAGAAAATGAAACAGCCCCACCAAAGATATTTTTCAATAGCCACCACTGGCGAAAACCCAAACTATTGTTTATTTGCGCATACTCAAAAATTAACCACGTTGATGTTGTTTTTCTCCCATTTCACCTTGCGTTGCAGTCTGGTTGAGTTTGAATAAATAGGCTAGTATAATGAAATTTTTAAGACCTTCATTAAAAAAATTAAGACTTGGACAATGAAATTTAAGGCTGTGTGTCCACCAAAGCGTTTTTCCACGCGCCTGGCGTATGTTTTCAATTGTTTTCAATGGGAGCGCTGTGTTTCTTAAACGCCATGAGCGTACCGAGACGCTGAGCGTTTTTTTCACGCTGAAGCGCAGAGCGCCCAGCGTTTTTTACTGGTCGCTGGGAGTTGAAAAATGTTCAACTTTGGATAAAACGCAGCGCTCATCACTGTCACTTTTTACCCAGCCGTCCAATCACAGTGGAGGAGGGGCGGGACTAATACCACACCGACCAACTGTCACAACATTCAACTGCTGCAGATATTCTGTATCATAGCAACGAAACGTCTCAATGGAAAAAACGCTGCGCTGCCAAAACGCTCTCAAGCGCCCAAAGCACGGAGTCTTCAGCAGAGCGTCTAGCGTTTTCAGCTGGCTAAAAGTGCTTTAGTGGACACACGGCCTAAGACTTTTTAAGGCCTTAATTTAGGAACATAAAATTTAAGACCTTTTTAAGACCCCGCAGCTATCAATCTAAACCTCAAGAATTGGAGCCATTTCAGAACGATGTTGGTATTGATTGGTATTGTTTTAATACAATCTAACTAAAGTAGACTGCAACTAGTCAACACTATTGATGTTACTGCTAAACAATCTGCTTATGCTTGCTTGAGACTGGTTGTTGCTATGGGGATTTTGAAGACATTCTGCTTTTTGTTGCAGCTCACGGAGCCAAATGATTTTGATGTGACGTGTGCGTGCACAATGATAAAGGTCATCAAACCCCCATAGGCCATGTCACTCCATTCAAGAGCGAAATTAGTAATCAGCTCTCTATGGAAATAAAATGTGGAAAATTACCTGAAAATGGGGTCTTGGGCCAGTGTCACTTGGCTTTCATCCCAGCTATAAGCAGATTTCTAACACAAATATTGAGTACATTTTTAGTCAAGAAATATATTCATAATTTATCATAATTATTTGTATATACATAATTAATTGTACAACATACACAACATTAATACATATTTATTAATTAAATAAATTAAATTAGTAAAATGTATATTTATAATGAAATTATGAGAAACAATGAAAGCGCTCACCTTTTTCTTTTTCCGCAAAACTACCTTGACACCATCCACTGACACAATAAGATTGACTTTCTTCTTCTTTATGTTCTTAATTTTAAACTCATACTGAAAATGATCAATAAAAATAATTAATTGATTAGAAAACTGAATTAATCAAAACATGAATCATGATATAAACTTTATCATGCTCACCACCTGTTCTGTTCTGGGTCATTTTTGACCCGGAACAGAATTAAAAACATTCTAAAAGTATATATTGAAATAAAATATATTTTATTTAAAATGTATTTGTTTTTTTTTTATGTTTTTGAAAAACAAAGATTTTATAATATATAATTTATATTTATGGAATCTCAAAATTTTTGTATACATTCTCCTGTTATGTTTGGCTCACATCCTCATAATCTGTATACATGTTTCTTTTGAACCACCTTATAATGTGTAATAAGTGAAATAATTCTATAAGACTAAGACTATTGTGAAAACATTTACAGTAGGTTAGCAAGCACTACCAGTTTTCGTAAATTTTCAGAAGCTACATTTAAGTCTATAAATGTTATTTTTGACCTGAACATAACAGATGTCATTTTTCTAATAGCTAAAATATAGGTCTTTAAACTGTGAGCGACATACATAAAGACCAGATAAAACAACTTAATTCATCACTACTAAGCCGTTGAGTAAGCCACATCACTTAAGTTTACATAGTAACTGGTTCTGTAACAAGAAAACTCAAAGTAGCATTTTGTTTAAGTCAAAAGTCTCAGCACATAATGTATAAATGAACAAACAAATATGAAAATTGTTGATTATAACACATATATCTCAAAGCTATATAGCAACCTGCAAAAAATATATCAACCTCTAATGAAGATGATTTTCTTTCTTTTGGAAGACTTGCAGTCATTTGAGAACTGCATAAGTAATCAAAGACTAGGAAATACACAGGAGTGGGATTAAAAGAGATGCACTAGGCATACTAAAATGTGTCTGGGTTAAAAGAACTCTCTTATTTCCAAAGCTTTGATTAACGCTAACATACACCAATTACAAGGTGAGCTTATTTCTAAGGAGCTTGTTTGTTCTGCTGCTTAGTTCTCCTCAAATACATGAAATAGAGAGGGATATCTATCTGAAAAAAAATTGAGAGCTATGAAATACTACTGACTCAATTGATTGATCAACAAGAAAAGCTCCATGGAGAGAAATCTTGTGCAAACACGTCTAAACATTGCACAAACATCTCTTTGATGGAGCAATGTTGATTAAAGTAAAGTGTGCTGCTGCTGCCAGCACACTGCAATCTCATAAATACAGCCACACTGTGCCCCTGAGAACAGAAGGCATGAAAAAACAGGTCTTTACATTGGTTCCATATTAACAGAATAAACACCTTCCACCACAATAAAAGTGTTTCATTCATCAGCCCATAAAGTTCTCCTTTTATAACTAGTTCTTCAGAGAAAACTGTTTAATTAAGGGATGGTTCTCCCAAAAATGAAAATTCTCTCAATTACTCGCCCTCATGTTGTTCCAAACCAGTACGATTTTTTTTCTTCAACTTCAGAACACAAATGAAGACCTTTTTAATGATATCTGAGAGATTTCTGTCCCTCCACTGACAGCTATGCAACTACATCTTTCATTCAAATTCTTTTCATTCAAGTTCTTGCTGAAGCTCAACATGCTGCATAACACGAGAATGAACCTTGTTGGTTCTTGCAGAAGCTCAAACGTGCTGCGTAACATGTGAGAATGAACCTCGTTGGTTCTCGCAAGCAAACAAACTTGAACTTCTGATTTCTTTAAAAAGATTTTGATTTATGTTAGATGAACGAAAGTCTTACGGGTTTTGAACGACATCAGGGTGAGTAATTAACAACACAATTTTTGGGTGAAGCTTTGAAAACCCATTGGATTGTCACAAAGACATGCTATAATGAAAAATGAAGAAGAAATATTTAAGGTTTGGCACAAATTTGTGACATTAAGTTAAGATAATGTATTACCAGTAATATCCTCGCTCTTGGTAATCAGTCATTTGTGAACAAAATATGCATCATTCTTTCAAAAAGGTCAACTGTCTGTATCTTTATGAAGATAATTGTCCTATCCTTCATCTGACATTCCCTTACCCGTATTCGTCTCATAGCGGCCAAAATTTCAATCCTGCTTTTAGGTCGCACAATATCCAGGCTCCCAATGAACTGTGGCAGAAAATGTTACAATAAGTAACATGATAAACAGTACATTTTCTGAAAAAGTCAATGATTGCATAGTGTAACAGGTGAAGTACGTAGAGTAAGCCACATAATGGTAAAGCACAGAGTCAATTTAACATTACACATTATTTTAATATAGTTGTTACAATCCTTTAACACGATAATTTCATATTAAGTATCAGTACTAGCTCACAATTCATACTCACAATGCAATTGCATGGTAACACACTATAAATTGAGACCCATTAATAAACAAGTTCATTTTTTGTCTCTTAAAATATTTACCTTCACCTCGAATGTGAGCCCATGCTGGAAATGTCCTTCATTATCAGCAGGAATCCTCTGATCCATTGAGTCGTCTACCAAATAATATTTACTCTTCTCCAGCATTATGTAATAGAAATATCGTTCGATGCCTTTATTTACTCAAAGCATGCTGAAGCCTCTTGGCTGCACTGATTTTTGAGGGGTTTCTCACAGAATTATGACGGCAGTCCGACAATGTCCAAAGGCACAGGCAGAGAGGGATTCGGCATCATTTAGAGTAAATATGATTCATTTTTTGTTTCATACCCAAACAGAAGGTTCAAATCGCGTACACCGCCACGTCTGGATTTCCAGCATGATGATAAATATCCCAGCTATCACCGTTGGCGCAGACGGTCCCTTATCCTGAATTTCTGGGTCGTTCTATGGAGAGAATGTCTATTAATTATTCAGCAGACAAGCCATCGCCATTGGAAGGTTATCAAGCTATTAGCGCGATCTAAGTAATATTCATGAGGAAAATATTACGGTTTCCAGGCAAAGTCTGCATGAGATCATTAATATTCGTCAGCCAACCTTCAGCGTATAACATTCGTAATTTACCGTCCATTAATAGAAAAGATTTGAATGAACCGGTTGTGACTTTGGAAATATGCTGACATCTTGTGGTTAAACAGGTGAACGCGCCTGATGAGTGCCCCTGCATGGTTAAAACACCTGTCAATGCACTGTGTGTGTTTGTGTGTGTGTGTGTGTGTATGGGCGGATTAAGGTTGTCAGGGGCCCCTAGGCTGCTTTTTGTGTGAGCAAACTCAGAGTGGAATATGAGACAGACACAGAACCCACAGACCACATATAAGTATTTACACTTTTTGTTATAATATTGCTATGTAAAAAAAGTAGACTTGCATAAAATTGCAGATCAGTGGGAACAAGATGGTGCAACAGCATCATTCACTGTTGCCGTTTTGTATTTTTCACTGGAACTAATTTTTGCCAGCGTGTGCTTAATTGTCTTTCAAGAGTTTATCATAAAATGCAGAGCAGTCCAGTCCGAAATTAATTCGTACGAAAAGCATTGCCTTTATTGTTGTAACTTAGTCGAGATTTTTCATCCGTCCATGATGCATTCATTTACGAGAACACAGGCTCCACAGTGCAGATGTACCAGGCAGGCATTTACAAAATCCACTGCCAAAGATACACACGCTATCACTCAGCAAAAAAATAAAAAAAATAAAATAAATTGCACCTGCACCGACTTGTATTTGAGACAGGCATCTATATGAGACATGCAGGCCTTTATCATTTAGTGTTGAGATGAGTGTAAGCTAGTCTCTAATTTTTAAAAAAAGTCCAAATACTTCAGGTGAAACTGCGGGCTTCTGACCTTTTACTATTGTGTCAATTGATTTTGATTAATATGAGGGAGATATATGTTATATGCACCCTATCAAGCGCAGCAGTTTCTATTCTACAACACGACAAGATTATATACCAATCGAAACTAAAAAAAACAGAGCGGCTTTTATTTACCAACCTCCAGTCACACCAAGCGTGTAAAAGAGACACGCGTCTATTTGGGACTCGGCTATTATTTAAAATTTTACTTAAAATAATACGTGACAAAACATGATTTTTTCATAATAAGTCGGGAATGGGATACTAAAATTACAGTTGAAATACAGGACTGTCCTGTGAAAAACGGGACTGTTGAGGCTATCCTATAGGCCTCGGCATAGATGGCATGGTGTTCTCAACGCGTAGCAGAAATTTCAGAGTCCAAACATTTGCTCTCTTTGGGTGGTGTTCCCGTTTATTATAAAAGTATGAAAGGTAATAATTTACATTAAAATGGTACTTCACCCAGTGCTAAATATTAAAGTGCTGTCGTGCTGTTGGTAAATTGGGTGCTCACGGCTACGGTAAGAACCGTGTGTTCCTCACCATCCACACCATACCTAACTGATTACCACACCTGTAAATATACTTAATTCCCAGTGACGTCACACCCAGTTCAACACTCCCACCAAGTGGCTAGAGTAAGTAATTGCAATATTAACCTATCCCCAAAGGTTAAGGTATAAATGGCTCCTACACCCCGGCCCCATAATTGTGAATATTTATTTTAACCACAATTACCCAGATTACCCATTTAAACTAAAAGAGCCATTTGTGCAATGCTAATGTAAGTGAAATCATCTTCTCTTGAGCTTAGAACATCTGTGGTTGGATCATAGTCATCTCATCTGTCACTCATCTGTGACACTTCGACTTCCATCAAAAGGCAGATCTTCGTTACGGGTCGTTCCAGCTGACCGTTTTTATTTTCAACAGCACTGAGCCATCAAAGCCTTTCTTGTCAGGGTACATCTGTGTAATTTTTTCCAACAGCCAGGACCCTTGCGGAGCGACAGGATCCATTATAACCACAATGTGTCCAACAGAAAAGCCTTTTTTTTTTTTTTTTTTGGTCTCATCCACTTCTGCAGCATTATTTGATTCTAGAAGACCCTCTTGCTCCATTATTTGATTCTCTCCCTCTTCAGTTTGTCCTTCTCCAGCAGGTTTCAGCTTTTCTGACTGAGCCTCGAGATCCCTGTCGCACTTCTGCACCCTAGTGGACTGTGCGCTCTTCTCATTCTCCACTCTACTTACTTCCTGTAGCTCCTGCTTGACCAATGAAAGTTCTGTTCTCTGTTCCTGAGCCTCTGCTTTGGCTGATACCAGCTGGACCTGAGTTTCTGACAACGATGCCTTCAGCTGAGACATTTCTTCTGCAAACGTCTGACTGATGGTTATGGATTCCAGTTGTTTTTCCAGCTGGCCACTCAGCTGGTTGGTGTCCTGTCTTTCCACATTTATCGTCTCCTCCGGGACCTTCACCAGATCCAGAGCCGTCTGTTTTTGCTTCTCAGCGTCTGAAACCTTTGACTTCCACATGAGCTCGCCATCCTCCACACTACTCTGCAAGACTTTCAGCGTGCTCTCCATTTCACTAAGAGTTGATCTGTACTGCTCACACTCAGCCTGAAGTGACCTCCGTCTCTCTTCCGATAGAATAAGTTTCTGCTGCAGTTCCGTCACATCTGAGCTGGACATTATGTGCTGCTGTTCTGCTGGACTCTGCTGATTTTCTGTCAGGTTCTTCTGTGCTTCATGTGTGAATGCTTCCAGCCAGTTTGTCTGATGAATTTCTATGTTAATGTGAGGGAACAGTGTCTGAAAAGCGTTTCTGGTGTCTGTCTGGAAAGAGCTCAGCTGCTGCTCAACTTCACTTTGTGCGGCCTTGGCCTGGCTCAGTCTTTCTTCACTCAGCCTCTCAGTAGCAGATAGGGCTTCCACTGTGGCATAGTTTTTACCTTGCAGTTCGTTGCTCTTGGCCTTCACTTGCTTCATCTCTTCTTTAAGCTGTTGAAGTTCCTCCCCCAGTGAGATCATGCATGCGTCCTTCTCCAGACTCTCAAACGGCGGTTCAGCTTCGATAGTATCAGCACTTTCCATCTTCTCCAGCTGAGCCTGTAGGGATGCCACAGAATCTTCCGTTTCTTCCCTTGACACTCTTAAGTTCATAAATTTGCCCTTTTAGCTTTGCGACTGAGATCCTATTGGCAGTGACAGCAGGATGGCCCATCTTGCCTTTACGCGGCTCACCACCTCTCAGCGGACCATTCACGACCCACCCCAGTTGAGTCCTGACAGCATATGGTCCTTCACCTTGGCTATTTATTATCTCCCATGGTTCCATGAGTTTCGGCGCATTGGTGCCTATCAGCAATTCTACCTCTGCCTCAAAACTGGGAACTGTAATGCCTTCAAGGTATTTCCATCCCTCTAGGTCCTGTTGAGTGAGAATGTTATTTCTACTCACAGGTATGGTCCTCTGAGTGTAGACTTCAGGTAAGTCCAGGAAGTTTTCTTCATTCAAGCCAGAAACCTCGAGACCACTAAGCAAGAATGTGTCTACAGACCTCTCTTGGCCAAGAGTACGGAGAAGAATGCTAGTCTTGACCCCTGAAAGTTTGAGTCTTCTCATGAGATGCTGGGTACAGAAAGAAGCTGAACTCCCCGGGTCTAGAAAGGCATAGGTGTTAATAATTGTGCTCCCAGACTTGGCCTTCACCTGTACAGGCACAATAGCGAGAACACATTCATCACTTCCGGCCCCAGTATGGCCACATGTCTCCAATGACACAGATGCATTATTGACTGACACTTCCTGTGCTTTAGAGTCAATGTGCAGGACAGTTGGATGTTTGTGTTTACATATATCACATGTCAAAGGCTTGTCACATTCCCTGCTCATATGACCTCTCCTCAGACAGCTGAAACACACTCTGCCTACTTTCAAAGCCTCCAATTTCTCCCTATGCGTCATCTCATCAAGCTGTGAACACTTCTCCACTGAATGCTGGCTCTTACACACACAGCATGACTCTTCGTCATTCTTTTGTGAAGCTGGCCCTCTGCGCTGTTGGTGCCAGGCTGCTGATGTAGTTGATCCTGAGGCAGTATTGATGGCAGCAACAGTAGCTTGGCCTCGTCCGGTGTGTCTACTCTTGGGGTTAGAGGGAGGGTCTGGTGGCGTACCCTGTAGGTCACCAAAAAGAGGATCAGACAGAATCTTTACCTGACGCTCAATGAAGGCCACAAAGTCTGGGAACATAGCTCTATAACCACGGTGCTCCTGTAGCTCCCAAGCGACAGACCTCCATTTCTCCCTCAGTTTATATGGCAATTTCATCATTATCAAGCGAAGATTGGATGGCACGTTTAACTCCTCCATATGTTGTAAATCTTCCATGACATTGCAACAGTCCCTTAAAAAGATTGAAAAAGACTGCAGAGCATTAATGTCATCAACCCTCATCATAGGCCACGTCATAGCCTTCTCCATATAAGCTACAGCAATTTTTATTTCATTTCCGAAGTATTCTTTCAATAAATTCTTTGCTCTCTCGTAACCCTGCCCAGGAGCCATGTTATAGCAACTTCGAACCAGTTCCCTTGGCTGCCCTCTGGTATGTTGCTCAAGGTAATAAAGACATTCTTGTTTATCTGTTGTTTTCTTTTCAATAGCTTGCTCGAACGCTCTAATGAAGGCAGCATACTTAAGTGGGTCACCGTCAAACTCTGGAATAGCTCGTGGTGGAAGAGAGGCTAAGGCTTGGTTCTGAACCAGCTGAGCAATGATGTTAGTTTGCTGTTGCATAAGGTCATACAAGGGAAGGTGTTGAACATTGTCTAGAGAGGAATGATGATGCGACTGTAATTGGATATGTGTACTCCCTTGTGAGATCAATGGCTGAAGTCCTGTTGGTGCAACGTTAGTGCTGGTTCCAAAGATGTTCCCCTGGGCTTCAGACCTGTGAGAAGATGGTGCATATGACAATGAAGATAAAGAGTTATCAGACCTTGCTAAAGACTGGGCTTGTAGAATATGAGGCCTTCCCTTAGGCCGTACAGCCAATGGCAGAGAATGGTCCTGTTGGAAAGAGACAGTTTTAGAAAGTTGCAAGACAGGTGCTGTGTTAGAATAACTTGATGTTTGTGATTTCAAATGAGCATGAAGATAGGCATTCATGGCATCCTCTCCATTATCCTCCTCATCCTCATCCACATTTACAC